GTAGCCGTATGGCAACAGTGGCAATGAAAGGGTTAACTATTATTGAAAATCTCTATGAAAACTCTCGTGGAAAATAATCTAATCGAACGAAAGGGAAGTTGAATATCACGTGTTTGTAAGTTGTAATTCTCAAAGTCTGAGCTCCACTTCTCTCGGTAGCGTCATCGATGTCTATCGGACAATGTATACATACTCGCAACAATGTATACACTGTGAGTATACCTTAGTGGGCGAGTTGCCAAGGGTTCGTGTAAAACATTCAGGGGGAACACTGCAACCGCTCATGAATGTCAAAGATGGTTACGTGAAATTTTAATTCGACTACGCTCTAAAACTGTAATTTATTAAGTTACAGACTTAATGTATAATATATAGACTTATAAGCGGACTGACCGACCGACAGATAAAGTATAATAATACTTTAATAACTACATAAAATTGAATAATAACATAAAAGTTTTAATAATACAAAACTTTTGTCGAATCAATGATTCACGTTTATAGAAAGTCCAAGTTGGGTCGGTAACGTTCGTCCCTCCTCTTCATCACCGTCCGCCATTTTGGGTAATGGAAAATGGCGGACTTGCGTCTTGAATCGGAACTATGTTCTTGTATATATTCTATATACTGTATATATGTACAAAACAATGGATTATGTATTGGTGTACTGAACGAAAAGGGGAACGGTAAGAATGACAGAACTTTCCCATGTACCCGGTGAGACAATATGTCAAGATATATGCAGACGGGTGGGGTCGCGGTGCAACGATTGCTCCGATGCTGTGTCTCGCAGAACTCGTGTACGTAAATGGATACGGTGCAGTTGCGTTAATGAGAAAGTCGATTAGAGAGAGTGAGGGCGGTGTTCGTATATGCGTGGTCATGTATTATTAGATCGGTGCAGAAGGTCCGTCGTCTTTGCCACGATGCTTCGCGGTTCAATAAAGCCAGTTCCGTTCGCTGTAAAGATCGCTTCTTCGTCGATTTCCGTTCGAATTTCTAACCCCGCAATTAACACGCATTCACTTCGTTATCTTCTATACTTGGTTCCACCAGAGTCTGTAACTGTTTTGCGCATACGACTGAGCTGAGAATTGTCGCGAGCGCCACCACTTCCACTGTACTATTCACTGCATTAATATACACAGTGAAACACTAATATGAATGCATAGTATAAGAGTGTATTTCATGATTACATGTCGTCAATGATTTAGAAACTGTTCACCCGTTATACACGCTTTAAATGATTTGCTGGCGTTTTACATTTCGGTAGAGGGTACGCGGCGTGAAAATACAGTAATAGCAGTTACAGATTCTGGTGGAACCAAGTATAGAAGCTTACCTTACCTCTATAGATATTTTTAAAATTCTATCCAACGTTCGAAAATGACAGTCTTCGATAAGTAGAACACTCAAAACGTCGAAATTTAAATCTCAAGATAGTTTTCGTTCGTGGTAGTTGGAAAAATTGTTACTGCGATCAGCTCCATAATAGTTAATCCGATATAATAACCTTAAAGCTCGTTGGACACGACGAATTCAAGGTGTCGTTTGTCCTGCATTCTCATCAGAAATTGATTCACTTCTAGCCTTTCGTTTCGAAACCGTTCGAACGGCGTGTGAGATCCGTTTTATTTAAATTCGATAATTATTCGAAAGTAATACTTCGAGTCCCGACGCGATTCCGTGTACACGCAACGGACCTTTTACCCGCGACCCAATCACCTTGCCTCTGCGCCAGAACTGATAAATTTATCATTCTTGCGTCAGGGTTGATAAATTGTTCAACATTGTATTTGCGACTTCCTTTCGGGGACACTGTTCAGACATCGATATTAGTAAATCACATGAATGGACAAAAACAGATGATCGAGATGGTCGAACGAACCTGATCCTGGGAACTTCATTCTCGAACTGGAATTCGAATTCGAAAAAACCGCGTGATTACAATCGATGCATCGCGTTTCAACGATTCCGTGCAATGTCTGAAACAGTAAAGTCGCTTTAACTGCGCGGAAATCCCCCTTGGAACCAGGCGAGTGTATAACTTATTTACGCTTTTTATTATAAACTATTTTGTATAATTATACGTGTAATTATGGCGTATAAATTATTTACGCCTTAATTATTAGAGGCTACACTAATGCAACTTTCGACCAGTCCACGTTTACTGCCCGTATGTGGTACCGAGTTTCGCGCAGTTAGCGCGACTTTACTGTAAACAACTTCTCGAATATTATACAGGATGGCGGTCGTCTACCTGTGTTACCTACACACACAAAGTTCCAAATTTCGAGGGACAAAAACTTCGAGAACGGATGTCCAACGACGTATACACACCTCGTTTATTAGAAAAACAAACTTACGATATATTCATTTTGTCTTCAAATAATCACGTACGAACACGAAATAACGATCATGTATAAATGCACTTGTTCCTTATAACCTTTACTTTTACCAATTTTTAGCAGGATAGATACCCTTTCAATCGGCTTGTATCAAATTCCAGTCGAAGAATGAAATTCGTGACCAAACGAAAGCTGGCAGAGACAATATACAGTATGTGATATGGAATTTGACTCGACGAGCTCTCCCCCTCTTCTAGACACACACTTACGCGATCAAATGCGACTAACAATTAAAAGGAAAGGAAAAAAAACAATCTAACCAATGAATGCGAATGCGTTTCAGCTACGCGACGACTAGAAGCTTGCGCTGCCAAGGAGAGGAAGATGCGTGAAGTAGGCCGCTCTCTCCCCACCCATCGAGGCCAATTCCATGTCGCAAACTGTACACATATATGGTACAGACTGTACCAAATCACGCGACCAACCAAGAACTACTGTTCAGCAAGAGAACTCAGTGAATCATCGACAAATGTTCGAAGACTCCGCGGCACTGACTGTTCAGACGTCATCCCCACCACTGGGGGGGGAGGGGGGGGTTGGGAATCTCTCGTGGAACGAATAAAGCGTTCGACGATGGGGATGACGTCTTAACACTTAGTGCCAAGGAGCTTTCGAACACTCATCGATGATTTACTGTACAGAGAAGTGTCCAACCAGAAATAAATTATGGCGGTTGCAATGAAAGAGGTCAAAAGGAAAGGCAACAGGAAGGAAAGGGAAAAGGCTAGGGCTAGTGGACTGATCAGTAAGGCTACATCTAGCAGACCCTGTCTTACAGAGGAACATACCAAACCCTCACATGCCGATTTTAATGAAACTATACAGGAGATAGTGCTCCAAAACGTGTTTAACACGTATTTGTTTATCAGCCATCGTCCATGTTATGAGGTTGACAAAGCCCCCAAAGTTGAGAGATGAAAATATATCGTTTGGAATATTTCCGAAACTAGAGGGAATTGGGAAACAATCTTTGTTTTCAATTATCTGTTTCTGAATGGGGAATTTAGTCACATAAGAAACTTAAACAAAAAATTCAAAATTTTAATATATTATTTAAACAAATAATTTTTTAAAGTTTCGTATCCCCCTAGTTTCATTGTCAGAACACTTTTCTGATATCCTCGGAATGATCGGGGTCAGTTGGTACAGCCTGTCCGGGATCAAGAAAAGAAACTAAAACTACAGATATCTTGAAAAAATTCAAGGTATACAGGATGTTCACGCGATTAATGGCTTTTCTTTCGTAAATAGTAAGCGTGTGGGGAGAAAAAAATATCGTTTTTTATAAGTATATATCTATTTTTTTAATTTGCAACATACCTCGAACAACGAAAGCCGTTATTAGTGTTTTTTCTTTTGAAATAGAAAATTATATTCTTTCTTTATAATAGTACGAGTGATGGCCCGTTTTTTGTTTATTGATTGATTTGATATTATTTTATAAATGTTCAGTGGTATCGCACGCTTAATGTGCACGCCACCAATGGATGAAAATATAAGTACGATGTAGAGGGTGCTCTTGAAATAGGGACTGAAACATTATAAGCATATTCCGCTCCCGATAATGGTAAAAAAAAACTATAACTTTTCATTAAAAGAATTCGAGGTCACCATCGTCATTTGAAATATATTGCAAATTTAATAAATATTCCAAAAAATGTTACAACAGAATGAAACGTTTCTAACTTTCATTTCTTTCCGTGCACTCACGATCCACGAGCAGAACTTCGGCCAGTAATTGCATGAAAATTCTATACAAGATCATTCAGAATGAGCGTTAAAAGATTTGAAAAAATTACTTCCACGGATATTCTGAGTAAAAAAAATGCTGTAAAACAAAAATTTTCAATGCAATGGATATAATTTGTTTCTTCTATTCTAACGCGTTACTTCTAATATCATGAGATTAGAATATCCATTCAATGAATTCTTATTCTAACAAACTATTCTATTTATTCTTAAATGGTTCCCATTACTCAAACATCATTCGAATATAAATTGATTCGGAGGAATATTCACTTGAATAGAAATTCACGAGTCAATTTCAATTCGAATGAGAATCGATATCCAGGAATTTTCACTCGAACAGGAATTCATTCGAGTAAGAATCCACTCAAAGGAATGTTCACTCGAACAGGAATTCATTCGAATCAATTCGGAGGAATTTTTACTCGAACAGGAATTCATTCAAATCGATTTCAATTCAAGTAAGAACCGTTTCAAATGAACTTCCATTCGAGTTGATTGCAATTGGAGTATGAATCGACTGGAAGGAATTTTCATTCGAACAGGAATTCATTCGAATCAATTCGGAGGAATTTTCACTCGAACAGGAATTCATTCAAGTCGATTTCAATTCGAATAAGAACCGATTCAAATAAACTTTCATTCGAGTCGATTGCAATTCGAGTATGAATCGACTCAAAGGAATTTTCACTCGAACAGAAATTCATTCGAATCAATTTCCAAATTCGAGCGGTGGAGCTTACGGTTAACGTAAACCACCGGTGTGGAGGGTGGGGAGAATACCATTCCTGGTTAGTGTGGCGCACACACACACACACACACACACAAACACCCCCGTACGCTTACCGGTGTCGACGATGACGTCGATCAGGTCCATGCTCTTCGCGAACGCGTCCCTCAGATTGACGTGATGGAATGAGACGATGCTGCCCTCGCGTTTCGCCCGTTCAAGGGCCTCCCGTCGTTTCAGCGCCTTCTCGCGTCTCATCTGATTCTTGTAGAACTCGGCGAAGTTGTTCACGATAATGGGAATGGGCAACGCGATTACCAGGACACCACATATACAACACACACTGCCGATCACCTTGCCGAGCGGGGTCGTGGGGTAGATGTCGCCGTATCCGACGGTAGTCATCGTGATGCCCGCCCACCAGAACGTTTCTGGAATGCTTACGAATTTGGTCCCGGGCTCCTCCTTCTCGGCGAAATAGGCGAGGCTCGAGAATATGAGGACGCCCATCGCCAGGAATAGCATCAGCAGGCCCAGCTCCTTGTACGAGTTACGTAGCGTGAAGCCGAGGCTCTGGAGCCCGGTCGAGTGGCGGGCCAGTTTCAGAATCCTCAGGATCCGCATTATACGAAAGATTTGCACTACCCTGCGCACGTCCTGGAACTGGTCGGTCGCGTTCTTGTTCGTCTCGACCAGGAACAGAGATACGTAGTACGGCAGTATCGCCAGTAGATCGATCACGTTCAGACCGCCCTTGAAGAACTTCCATTTGTCCGGGGACGCGCTAAACCGGAGTACGTACTCGAGCGTGAACCAAGTGATACAGACCGCCTCCACGATGGCGAAATGCGGATTGTCTTGAAAGTTCCCCTTCTCATCATTCACTTGCATACTAGGAATGGTGTTGAGAGTTAGTGCGATCGTCGAAAGCACAATAAAGAGTATTGATATCACAGCTATCACCTGGAAAAGCGACGGGTCAACCGGTCAAAAAAACGGGCACTCCGACTGATCGGTGGCGAGAACAACAACAACAACAACCTAAGAGCAAAAAAAATATCGAACACTGGCCTCGAAGAGCGCACGCGCGCGCTTTTTTACAGTCTACCGAGAAACATAACCTAACCCGTCGTCGATCTGTCTGGTTGTCCTCTGTGTCTGTATTTTAACGTTGAGCCTCTTGAATCGTGTCTGTATGTGTGTGTGCGTCTCGTTGTGATTCTGATCGACAGACGGGAAATACTAATCATCTAAGGGTGAGATATTACTCGAGGTAAGGTAATTGCTTCTACTGACCCGTACTACTTGAAACAATTGATATAACGAAAGTTCCGTGTACCCGTGGTGTGCAAATCATTGGATTGTATGAGGCCACGTTTTCTTCGAGACAGGTTCGAACGTCGATACTGCACTGTCGAATTGATTATTCGATACGATTCGGTGTGCTTTTCAAACGTACCGTGCGGAGATTAAATACTCATATAGGGCCATCTCGACCAATTTGAATTAACTTGTAATCGATGATTAGCTCGATCGACAGTACAGCCAACGATGAAACTTTTGACTGTATGTCGTTCTTTACTTATCTTCTCGTTATGTACCATTTTATATCGTAACCCTCGTAATAAATAAAAAAAACTTAATAACTTCTTTCATGGTAAAACTATGTTTTCGATATTTCAAGGCATCACTTGATATTCACAGAGTATAGGGCACATTGCAGAGATGGGTTCAGAACAACATCAGTTGCAAGTTTTACTGTTGGCCATACTGCTGATCGAGATAATCGTCGATTAAAGTTAATCGAAGTTGGTCGAAGTGGCCCTTAACCTTCAACTGGTGACGTCACTTTTTTCTATCACTAATGGTGATAACAAAAAAACACCGACAAATATAATAAGTGCGTTTTTTTTACAGAAATCGGTTGGGTACTTAATTGTGAACAGCTACTATGTAGCACAAAATAGTCGTTTGGAAGTGGAGTCACTTTTATGTCGCGTAGCCAGTTGAAGGTTAGGACCAGAGGTACCATTATTTTGGTAATTTTGCAAATTTTCGAAATTTCGTATGCATACACAGAACACGAGAGTTTACAATGAACAGACAAGAGAAACGTATTGGAGAAGTGTATGTACTTTCGTGTACATAGACATCCCCGATGCTTGCTGGTATTCGGCACACTAATATGTAGCGAAAATTTGACGTTTTCATTAATTTACGAAAAATAATGGAAATCGTATAGTCCAAAAGGAATACTCAACTTACACTTTCGGTTACACGAGAACAGAAGAACCGTCGTTTAGAAAAATATAGAACGAACCATTTCTGTCGAACTTCTCTTGCCGTCTCAAAGAAACATTAAAATTACGGATTCGAGAGTGATAACGGTATTCACCACGATTTCTTGGTACTTCTGTAAAAGCAAGCAAATGGGGAAAATACTGATCCAACAATCTGCACACCTCCGTGGATCAAGATGAAGAGTGTATCCTCCTAGCTACGAACTGTAAATACAAAACAAAATTCCAACACCTCTGAATCACATGGTACCAATGATCATCGCACGGTAAGATTTCATAAAGTTCCCTGAAAAATAGTACTCGACGAAGAATCAGCGGACCCTAAACGGACGCAAAAGTCCCCCTATACATACGTATGACCCTTGTGGAACCGCTACGAACGGGGGATCTCTGATCGACAAGCACCGCCGAACGAGAAAAAAATCAACAAACAACGGGATCAACGGTTACTCAGCCTCTCTGCGCTGCTGCTGGATTCTACGCAACAACGGCTACGCAGAAAAAACAGTAGTAAACACCAACACTCGAAGCTCTCACTTGCGACGTGAAGCGTTCAACAGCTACAAAATTACGGCAAAAAATTCAAGTGGTACACACCAAAATACACAACAATACTTAATCACCGTCAATACAGGTAGAGAAAAGCGGTCAAAAAAACGGTCGTCCTTCTGCAAACGCCACCAGACGACCGAAAAACGTATATATACGGAAGCAAGCAACAACATTTTTGCGTATAAATACGTACAAAAGAAGCGTGTCGCGACGTCGAAACCGACATCGAAATGACAACGAGAACGACGACGACAACGACAAGGACGACGACGACGACGACGATCGGAAGCACAAGATCGTGAAGACTGAGTGGACCGTCGATAGATGGCGCGACGATCGATCCAACATGGCGCCGCCACGATTCGCGATGCTGCTGGGAACAACATTTTTCGGACGAAAAACGCGACCGTGCGCGAGAAAGAAGTCCGAAAAAAAAACCAACGTATTGTTCGTAACAAACAAACGCCAGTGGACGACGTCGAATTTGTTTTTTAGGGAAAGCAGGGAGCACACTGCGGACTGTTAATCAACGTTCTAAAGCACTTTCCGCGAAACTGAGAACTCGCAATGGAGGAACAGAGTCGCTGAAAACTGCTGTAGAAACGTATTAACGCGCAGCGTTTCGGCACACCAATGGGGCTGTTGGTGTGTCTCTCGTCGTTTGAAGGCTGTCTGCCCGACGTCGCTCGACTCATTTACAAGTATGTATACTTGGCGGAAGAGACGCGTACAGCGACCCCGATTGTCTGGTTCGGTACTTCGATCTGCTTCTTGATCGCGGTGATTCTGGGATCACGAGGCTATTTTTTGTTCACTCCCTCCGTATATGCTCGGAGTACCGACGCAGTAATGGAAATTGTTGGTTATTTTTTTTTCTTCTGTATTAATTTAAATTTAAGAAAGGTAATGTACTTGCAGTATTTTCACAAAGTTAATATTCATTCTTTAGTGTATCAAGACTCCATGTAGCTTTAAAGTTTTGAATAATAAATTACAATGTAATCTAGAAGGAGGACAATGGTTAACGATAAAAAGTGAAATTATTTAATAAAAACTTTGCCTACCGAAACATATTTGGTGAACGTTACAACACTAACAATTGCGATTCACAAGTTCGTTTAATCAAGTTGCCAACCGTATACGGCTAAAACTATTAGTATTTCTAGTGATTCTTATTGAAAAAACAATCAATAGTCTCCCCGTCTGAATGAATTCTGCAATCGGAAATCCTTTTTATATTCTTTATGCGCGTCTTTACCATACATGGAAACAACCGGAATAAACAGTCAATTATTCGTACAATTTTCAACGCTCAAGAAAATATCCCCAATCTGAACTATTTATCTTTCAACGTAGCGAAACGAAAATCGAATTAACAGATCTATAGCCGCTAAGCCGTTTGAAGTGTCGAGACTAAACAGCCCAAAAATGGTGGTTCCGTTTACCACACGTATCTCCCTCCTGAGTGTCGTCCCGTCGTTTTGGTACACTACACCGGATATATACCATCCCCCAGGATCCCACAGAGTCGCTGTATCTCCTCCGCCAAATACACATTGTTCGGCAAGCGGTATTAACACATATTGATTTGTCCCTTCAAAACCCCGCTCCCTTTTTATTATCCACCCTCGTGCAAGCCCACAATGCACCCCCAAAAAAATGGTTTCGTGGGCCTTGTTTGTATTTACCCTGGCAGGCTAGCCGCAATCGCTACAAAGCGAAATCAATTCGTTCCGTCTCGAAACGGTCATAGCGGAGAACCGTTCCCTCCACGAGCGGAAAAAAAACCAGGCGTTTTTACTTTTTCTATTTTTTTGTTGCGTCGCACGCATTGTTTGGACTTGCGAGGTAGCAGAGACGCGTACGCGCGCCCGGAAGCCAAGCGGCGGCCATCTTGCGAAACACTATCCCGCGACGACCAAACTACGGATGTTTATGCATTTATAGCGTTTCTTAACGTGGAAAATGTTATCAACGACGATTTTAATGAAGTTCAACTATGCGTTAACGTTAACGTAGCAAATCTTTTATCGTAAAATTAAAAAATTCTTACCCGCATTGTAACTTTTAGGTAGTGGTATCTGAAATTGTGAATTTGCATAAACTTTCGCAGTCTAGTGATCGTGCAATCGATAATTATCACGTGATTTGTGCGTTTTGTATTATTTTCTTGTTACTCTCGAGCACTTATCGAATCAAAGCTTTTCCCCGTCCCTCTGTATACGTGTTTCACCTTCGACTGGACACGTGTGGTTTAATAAACCCACAGCCCAACTTTAAACACTTTCGTAATACAGTGAATCTTCGATTAACACTCGAAACTCGGGACCACGTTGGAGCACTTATCGTAGATGGACACGATTTTCTGCACAACATGAATTGTGTGTCAGTTCATGTCGTGTAGAAAGGACCGAGCTTCCAGTGTGGAACCCCCTAATAGTGGGGCATGGAAACGCGGGTATTTAACGTAGAGATCCTTCCGAACAGTTATCGAGGATTTACAGTATTTCAGTCGTACGAATTTTGTGCACCGCATGACTGTAAAGTTTACGTCATTAAATTATAAGAACTTAGAAGGTTTCTAATTTTTGTTGGTTAGAAAGTGCTCTTTTGTACTCTGCTTTGTTTTCAGAATTTAAAAACAATGTTTTATGTTTTAATTTGAAAAACATAACTTTGTATGTACCAATCATAATGTACGTGTTCGCAATAGTTAATAATACAATAAATTTCTTATTAAAAATATTTTAGAAATATTAATAAATAATTAATAATAATGTAGATTATGGCACGTTTTTCATATAGGGTCTGATAAACCCCAGGTGGCCGACCCACGTGACTCTAAGGCAAATGACCAGTCAAAGGTTATGCTTTGGGTGCTTGGCATCCGAGTTCGCTCGAGCTGAATAGCAGTAACTGTTACAACCAAGCAATAAGTGAAGAAAACGAGCAAAGATAGTTAAAACGAAATGGCGAGCGTCGCAACTCGCCATACGGTTTCTCATGCAATGAAACCGCGATTGCTTGTACACGACTTGGTTACGGCGAAATAGGTTTCTTGATCTGTCACATACAGTGACAAATAGGTAGGATATCGTCGAATAAGAGAAT